TGAATACAATGCTCATCTCTCCTTCATTGTAATTCTGAAATTATTTTTGACACAAGTAGAATTTTTTCTTAAAACACTTGACATAAAAAGTATGTAATAATAGTAACATTATATATAAAATGTAATGTGAATATTACAACCATATGTTTTATTAAAATTTTATTACAAATTATTATATGCTAATATAAAACTTTCTATAAAATATAATATATTTTAGTTTAAAAATACATATGTTATGAAATTTATTTATATTAATTTTCATAATATTTTTTTGTGGGCGTAAGAATTAATTTTTGATGCAAAATTTAAAAAATTGTAAAAATATTTATAACTTACCAGCGTATTCAAAATTAAGGGTTTAAATGTTTCATAAATCTAATTGATATACATATAAACAATACATTAATTTTATATTCATGCGTTTTTTAACACTTGCAGGAGAAATATTTTCAGCATTTGCATTTATTAAAATCAGATCACTTTTAATTGGTTACTGCACAACTTTTAACAAAATGAAATAAACACTACTAACGGCGATGCGAAATACTTATTAATATATATATACTTATAAAACTTCATTCCAATGTCTCAATTTTATACTAAAGTTTTAATTTTTTACAAGAAATTATTGAGCACTTCATAAACCAAAACTAACGGTTTTTTGCGATAACCACTAGAAAACCTGTTGCAACAGCAAAACTTTGATTCACTATTCACCACAATATGCTCCACATGGTTGTATTTATATTTAAAATTATTTAATTTATTAAATAAAAATTACAATGTAAATATTTCGTTTTATATTCGCAAATATTTTCATGTCCACCGAATTCTTATTATATAATTATAATTTTTAATAGTTTATAATATAAAAATATTGATTTAAAATATAAAGTTATATATCTCTAATACTTTTTTTATGATTTAAGAAAATTAATTCTTTTAATATAAGTCTTAAAATAAGATTTGTTATATTTTATTTAAATTTAGAATGAAATAATGAAACCGTTTTTATATAAATATAATTTGATTTTTTCACAACTAATAGTTTATTTATTTATTAATATTATTTATACAAATTAAAAACAGCAAACAATTTTTTTCATTTAAAAATTAACTGCACTTGATTTAATTTTTAATCAACTAAGGTTCGTTTAAAAACTATGCTATCGCAAAATTACTTAATGTCATATTTAAATCGAATTTTTCAATGTTTCATGTGCATAATTAATTTATAACAGCAATTTTATAATTATTTACTTATGCACAAATCACATGAACAGATTTCGAATATTTATTTTGGTTAACATATTTTGGTAAAGAATTTTTCAAATGTAAACATTTGTAATATCATAACACCAGCACGTGACGCTAACCTAATAATAAAATAATTAGACAACAAAAGGCGCAACAGTGCATGGCAAGAGGATAGATGACACCGGAACAAATTGAAAAGAATGTTGGCGCATGTCAACACTTACAGACACTAACCACCCGCACGTGTCAGCAACTAAACGGCTCTGTTAAATAAAGCGGCATGCTTAAAGTTTAGATAGACCAGCCATAATGCGTACTTCACAGCCTGTTAAAGTCCTTAAGTCAAAGGAGCGTGTCGACACCACTTCAAAGTAGATATTTGCAACTGTTATCAGTGTACTAAATACTCCTAAGGCAACAGTTGTGCGGAAAAGGCTTGAACCACAAAATAAGTTGCGTTTTTTTAAAGTCCCAAAAAAGTGTTTGAGGAAATGTAGTGCTACCGGTCACGTGTTGGTAATCAAAATGTAAATGAAACCATTTTTCAGTTTTTTCAAGAGATATTTTAGGAAGGAAAATTTTAATAAAATAATAAATACAAAAAACTATTAAAGAATATGAAAGGAAAATTAAAAAATAAATTTTTATGCGGAATATTTTTTAAATCTTGATCTATTTATAAAAATTATTACAGTTAATGCTTATATACACTGTATAATATATATACACGAGTAATGTTATCCTTTTTTAATAGATAATTTCAGTTAATAATTAATAGTTAATAAAGATTATACAGTGAAAGCTCTCTTAACCAAACACAGACCGAACCTTCAAATCTACCTGAGTATACGGAAAAATAGAATTTTCATTTTCAAAAGTCAATATGTACACGAAAGACTTATTAAATTATCTTAATTAATTAAATTGTCTTAATTTAATTATCTTATCTTAGTCTTTACACTTCTATACTAGGGTCTTGCGAGAAATGTGATAGCAAAACGGCGAAAAATCGCTAATTGAGATACATGGAAGTTATCTAACGGCCTGCTACTGCAACCAACTAATCAACCAATATAAATCAAAAGATTTGATTCGACCATCTTAAGATGGTTTGCTCGATTCCATTCCGAAAATTTCGTTGTCAAAGATGCACTTAGACTTTCCATGTGTTATTACCACATAAAATAATTTAAAGAAGTTTTATTGACCAAATTAACATCAGCTAATGTAACACAACTAAATTGAACCACTGTTCAAAAAATTCATCATGGATAATAAAAAATGGATTAAGTATGAGAATGTTTGACTCAAACGATCATTGTCAAATGTCGCTTACCCTTCACAATGAATCTAAAACCTGAATCAAGAACAAAGTAGATAATGTTAAATCTTCGGTAGGATTGAAAGGGATTCATCTATTACGAGCCGCTCTTGCTAGGTGTAACGATTAACTCGGTTCTCCAAGTGCTCACAACTTCAACGCTTGAATTAAACAAAGAAGTTAGGAGTAAAGAAAGGCAAAAAAGTTATGCTCCATCATGATAATGCTATGCCGCATCCATCTTTGATGTCTTAAAACAAATTGACGGTATTTGGTTGGGAAGTTTTGATGCATTAAAATCTTGCATTATTTGACTATAATTTTTGTCGATTTCTACAAAAATCTCTTAATGATAAAAAATTGACAAAGCGAAGTACCACTGACAATCACTTTTCCAAGTTTTATGCCAATAAGACATTGAAGTTCCACATCGATGAAACTCTTTAGATGCTTCACATATTTATAAAGCTACTCGAAAAATAACAAGAGATCATAATAAATCATAATGACCAATATATACTTCATTGAAATTAATGTTTAATAAAAAAATACATTTTTTAAAATGTATTTTACCTACCTTTTGTCTTTTACCTTTATCACCTAATATAAATTTATCCAAATTTGATATATTTTTCAACGGAATCCATAATTATTGGGAATAAATTTCTTCAGTATACTAATTTTATGTGAACTTAATTTCATTAAAATTATTATTATTTTTAATGTACCCAATATATTTAATAATTAATTAATTATTAAACAATTAAATGATATCAAATAATCTCCCATCGCATTTTGGTAGTATTAAATAAATTCCATTTTTAAATTATTATATTAATTGAGCATAGAAAATTAAATTTAACTGAAATTTCACGATATTAAAAAATTTATTAATTAATTCATATCTTTTATTATTATCATTATTTAAAATTTTGTTTGTTTTTATATTATTTATAAGCGTAAAACTCAACAAAAGACGGCATGAAATTTCATAGAATATTGAAATCACATTAAAATTCATTTCGTTCATTGTCCTTCACTTTGGCCTTGCACACTTCATTATCCTGCAATTGCTGCTGCTGCTGTCTCTGCAATTGTGTTAGGGTGTCATTAGACAAATTCGGGAAACGCAGGCATAAAGGAATGAAAATAAAAAAACCAAAATTTTGTTTACTTTGTTGTTTTGCACTGTTTCAGTGATTAACATTATTTGCTTAAGTCCTTTACACGATGCGTCACATATTTGCTTCAAAAATTCTCCATACAAACAGTCAATAACGTCTGTATATAATGTCGAATATCTTCTGGTCCTTCGTTGTACACACACACCCATATATATAGTGCAGTTATTATTGTACAAACATAAAATTTTCGGTCTTCATAGAAAAATACATGTATATTTAGTCATTGGCTTACTTATTGGCAAACGTCAAAAACAATATAATCCTGATATGGGTAAACATTTCATTCGTTTATCCACAAAGCAAACGTATATAATTCTGTGTGGGGAGGAAAAAAACAATAAAATACCCAAAAATATAGCTGTGTTGTCTCTTTGTACCAGTATGAACCTAGCACCTAGTGCTTTGAAATACTCTTGCAACGTTCTTTCAGCTGAAATATGTGTGAATCCATGGGGGCAATCAATTTCAAAGGTTTACTTCATAATCACTGCATGTGATTGATGTGAGTTTCTTTATTTTACGATTTCGGTATTTTATTGCAAAAATGTTTTACAATATTTTTTAATAGATTCTTACATTGATTACGCGTATTTACTGTCATATGTTCTGGTTGTGATATACTGAGATACGCTGTGTAACTAAAGATAATATTTATATAAAATATTTACTCTGTTACTTAAATTGTTGGTAGAAATATTTTATTTGCATAACTAATTCTTTAACTGAAAATGTTTGATTGATAATCTGCTGATAATACACAATGAACGAATGCAAATAAAAAAATATTGATATATCTATATGTGTATACTAGACCTCAAGTCAGGCCTAAAATTCATGAAGATGTTTAATAATCAAGCAAATATATTTTTACATAATTTTGTATTTAAACCGTTTAAACGAGTTGAACTAGAATATAAATACAAAAATTTATATTGGCTTCTTGGGAAAAAATCACCCGTCTCTCTAAACAACAAATTATTGATATACAAGCAAGTCTTAGCTCCGGTGTGGACGTATGGAATCCAGTCATGGGGATCTACTTAAATCATTCGAAACTTTCAGAGCAAAGTTTTAAGAAATTTAGTCAACGCTCCGTGGTTCATTAGGAATACTGATCTCCATCGGGATTTGAATATTGAATCTGTGGCTGCAGTAATTAAAAAGATCGCGGTAAAGCACCAAAAACGATTACACCAACCATCTGTCTAATACATGTGGCCTGCTGAGAACACTTAAACGAACTAAGCCTTCAGATCTACTCCCGAATTAGTAGTCTAATAATAATTTAGATTACTACTCTATTAGCAATAAGTCTTTGACAACTTGACAATTCTAAAACGTATTCTGATATATAACAAAACTGCTTGATAATTCTTTGTACTTAAACTAGTCATAGTCAAATAAATCATGTATTTATATTATTGTAGTATTGTGTTTCAAATAATAAAAAAAAAAATATTTAGACCGTTTGAAAGATCGACTAAATTACGGTAAGGTAACTTGAAATTTCTTAGTGATTTTTTGCACTGCACATATGTAAATATATATTTATTTATTGCACTTATTATTTCTGGTTAAAAGTTTTCAAATTTATTTATTTATTTAGTAAACATCTTATCAAATTTCCACAATGGTAATACCCAATTTACCTAATTTTTATTAAATTTCAACGAAATTTTTATTTTACTATTTCCCTTAATGGTGGTAAATTACTCGAATTCGCATACGGCCTTAGTTCTTAAATGAAAATAGTAATCAAAGTATTGTGTTAGTGCAGAATTTGCAGTGTGAAGATAGTTTCTCTCAGAAGTTCGGGTATATAATGGAATGGTATTGGTGAGCACTTTATATTTAAACATTCATAGCAGAATTGGAGTGTACGTTCCTAGGCTCCCAGTTACAAAGTCGAAATTGCAAAAGACATTGTCTTAAAGACAGTCTTTTTGGAAAACAATTGCTCAAAACATGAATGTAAATGCTGTAGTACGTACTATCTAAATAATGTATAGAATCTGCAAACAATCATAGATAATATGACTGGAAGTGGACGGTAGAAAGATTAATTGTCTAAACCAACTTATTGGGTGGATGAGGGAGCACTATTTAGTTGGCTGTTATGCTGCTATAAAGAGAATTTCCTTTAATAACTTTGCTACGAGGTGCACGGTCCAAAATTTTAGTTTAAATTCTTAACCCTCAAAACTTTTTTAAGATTCAATATTTTTAAACTCTGAGGTTGGCTTTCCAAAACCCACTAAAGTTGATCATCCGTACTATATAATAAATGAAACGCTCAGAATTGAATGTTTAAACTTTAAAGTTTAAATCGTAAAAAATAAACTGCGTAACTTAATAACAAAGCCCACAAGTTTTATTTTAAAACTATAAAGGTTAAGTGTTTTATGTTGAAGCTATTTGAGCCAGTGCACTTGAGCACTTTTACTCTTTATTAACTCGAGGTATCTTCAAAACCCTTCTTTACGCCTTGACTGGATTAATGTTTATCACTTCATCAGACTAAGCAATAATTGACGTCAGATTTGCATACCTCCCCGAGGAACCTAAAGTTTAATATAAAAATCCTCTGAATTTTAAATTTAAACTAATATCTTCGAGCATTTATGATGGGAAAAACGTACAGACAATTAAGCATCTTCTCTGCAATGCTTTCTTGAGTCAACCTCATTATAGAGGCATTATTGCAATGCCAACGATGCTCATTAAACTATTGCGATCAAATTTGATCAGATTTGAAGCCCTTTGATTTGACTTCAAAGGGTCAACACTCTCTTCGCAGAAACATATACAATTATCATCATCATCATTCTTAACATAAACAATGTTAGTGTTTTTTCACAAAATTAGTACAAAGACGACTATTATTTTTGTAGTTACTATAACTCATACTAAATTTAAATATTTATTACTTATTTATCAACAAATTGCATTTATCAACAAATTCGTTTAGTAAAAAATAAAAACGAAAATTTAACTTTATGTATTATTTAAAATATATTTTCTAAATAATCATTTCAATTATTGTCTACATTATTCACTTTGTCCTATTAACAAACGAAGTCTCTTTTGCAACAATCAGGATATGGTTTACTCAAATCTTCAGCGCCTAGTTTACAATTTGGTGGTGGAGCAATTAGACCGCAACTAATAAATAAAAATTTTTATAAAAACAAAATTCAAATAACATAAATTTATTTATTTTTATTTGTACTTACGTTACGATGGTGCCGTATCCTTGTTTACTATCACAACTTACTTTACTACAGGACCCCGATGGTTGATAGCTTTCACCAGGCGCAAGTACTTTACCATTATGCACACATTTATCAGAATGGTCTGTAAAAAATTACAACGATGATAGATTTGAATAATTATTATTATTGTTATCCTATTTCAAGAACCTGGATCATCTAGTTTCAATTTAGCCTGGGCTGCATTTGCTGTTGCTGCAGCAAGAACCACTAAAACCAAAGCGAAAATATAAAATTTCATGTTTCTGTTATAATCGAACGAATTTCAATCTACTGAAATGATTTCGTTGAACACTTCTTTTATACTAAATTTTAAATCGATTATGAAATGTTTTACTCGGCTTTTAAATTTATCACAAATATATTTTTTTACGAAAGTGAACGTCTATATTTTAAGTTTTTTATTGTTAAAAAAATGCAAAATAGCACTGACGCGTTGCCGGTTTTTTTTGCTTTTTCGATGACAGTAGTTCTAACTAAACAATAAATATTTTATTATTTCAATAATCAACAATAATATTTTTTTTTATTTTATTTGTTTAATAAATGTAGATAAACCTGTTTTAATAGTTAAACTTTGCTAAACATATGATTTAAGAATATGTGTTGAGAAGTGAACCCACCTATTTATTTAAGCAAGCAACCGATTAAATTTTATTTATAATTCTCCCATCATAAAATTTCTCATCTCTGTATTATTGATATAATTGTTTATATTGTATATAATACTTTGTGAAATGTAGTTAATTAATTCTTTTGTGTTTGTTGATTTCTTAATAATTATTTTAATTATTTGAATATGATTTGTTCTTAACTTCTCTTAGTTGTTATTTTCTCAACAAAATTGGGTTAATGTGATATAAATGTATTATAAATAGTTTTAAATTTGTTTGTACACAGATGTGACTTTTATAAAATAAATTTTTCTGTTTTTACGGTATATACCTTCTTCCAAGTATATAAGAGCCAATATTTTTCTAAATTATTGCCATTTAGTTAGCATCTTTAGCTGCTCATTAACGTTTATACAGTCTGAACCTTTGTTAAGGCGATTCAGTCGGAATGTTTTTCCAAATAGTTTTACTTCTTTTATAATACAAAGAAAAATTAACTACGGAAATCTCAAGCAGAATATCACGGCATCTAAACGACATAGATCTCAAGAAGAACCTGCTATAGTGTCATAGAAGAGCATAGTGGCAGATAGAAACAGAGCGGCTTGTAACCGTTTAATAATATAAAAAAAATTAAACCACGAAGTGGCTTTCGATCACCATCTACATATAGCGCTAGTGAATGAAAATTGTCCACTATTATAGCGTCATCAAATGTGATAACCAAAATTTTGAGAAATTTCTTAACATCATCGTTGCCAAAATTCAGGACACAGTAGTAGCTTGTCGCTCAACATTATCCTAGCCAAAGAAATTTCTCACAGTCCGAAGCCGCACATATGGACAATGAATATAGAATTCGATGGTAACCAAGTCATTAAATGCTTGCATCCACATAATCTTGCTATTCGGATGGCTGATAGGTCCATCGTTAAAGCAGAGTTTCCGCTCTCTTCTCATTACAGCCCGCTGTAAAAGGTTGAATTATGGTTTGACATACGGTATGCTAAAATGAATATTCTCTATTGTGCAAATTTGAAAGAGAACTAGAAAGACATTATCAATAACACAAATAAACTACTTGATGGTATGTGGCTTGTCAAAATGAAAATAGCTATTATTCGTTATGAAATAAAAACTCTTTCTTGGAGAGCTTAAAACCTTTAAACATATACAAGGCATGCATGGAATTTGTACTGTATCCAATAAATATTTAAACATTTTTCTCACCCAACTTTCAATTTCTCAAGCACCAACAACTACCAAAGTCGGACGGAATTGGTAAATATCATCATAATATCTCATAAAGATATGGTTAGAAACAAAAATTGGAGTGTGTCCAGTGAAAACTCATTCTGTGACCACAGTTGGATACTATATAATATGGATCTTAAGATAGGTCAAATAATATCCATTAACATGTTTGGCAATAGGCTAAATACTTTACAGAAAACTTTCTATAACACCTTTTAGATGTCTTGCCCATTAAAATATAGTATATTTTAATATGAAATCTTTCCTCTTTGATGGAGTTATTAATTTTCAGAACTAGAGAAGAAAGCAAGAACAGATACCCATGTTAGCACTTATGAAATATATTGCCTTCATGATTTATGTCTTTAAGAATAGCATATATAAAATGTTAGATTAAAGAATAAGTGAAACTTTATCAGGTTTTTGATCTTTGTAAATGATTTTCAAGCTTATCCTTAAATTTTTATTTTATATCGATTGTTTGCGATTGTCAGATTAACAAAGCTTATTAGGTTTTTTGGTAAGTCAAGCTTATTATATTATAAGTTTATATTGTATTCACCTCATTCACGTTAATATTTTTGGCGCTTAAAACCATTGTTTGATTGTGTAAGCTCTCGATTTGAAACCACATTGAAACCGACCAATATTCTCTAGATAAATAATGAACTGATCATGTAGGATCGCAATATACTATTTAATAGTAAAAATACAAATTTATTATTTATTACTTAAAAAAAAATATTTATATCTTCCATTTTCTGTATTTACACATTGTAGTATATTTTGGATTATTAAGAAATTTAATTTCTCACCTTGACGAGATAATGTTTCACTATTCTTTCTCTACAAATGATATTTCCAAATATTCTGCTAAATATTCTTAAACATTCTGCTAAACTTCATATAAACTTATAAAATTTTTTCTCTATGAAATGTACATATATATGTAGATATACTTGATATGTTTATGAACTTATATTTATCAAGTTCATTAATCTTCTCTATAGCAGCTTAATTATAAAAATTAAAATTGTCGGTATAACTTACTACGCTTCTCTACTGAATAAATGCAAATATTATTATTTAAACCTTTTAAATTAAAAGTTTGATTAATAACATATTATTTGAAATTAGAAGAACCTTTTTGAGTTCATATAAATTAAGTTTGTCTTCCTTACTTAAGTTTGTCTTCTTTTATCCTTAAACAACTAAATAAGGTCAATAATTTCATTAGTTTTATTTAACTAATTGTAGTTTTTTATAACTAATATGATATGTTTTCTCTTTAAAATGGCTTTGAATATATTTTAATAATTCTTATAGTGTTTAAATAATAATTATAAAAAAGTCCTAAATACATAATAATTGTCTCCATATATATATTTTTTTTTTAATTTGATTTTATTTATTTCAAGCAAATCAATTCTCTCACGCAACAATATGGAAAAGGTCTACTTAAATCCATCAACCCCATTTTGCAATTGCTAGGCACATTAATCGGTTCACAACTAAAAATTTAATAAAAACGAAATAAAAAATGTAGTGATGTAAAATTTTAAATATATATCTATTTCTATAAAAAAATATAATTTTTACTGCGATAAGAGAAAACTTACTTTCCATATCTGGTAACTCCTCCCGGTGCACAACTTATTTCCAGGCAACTATTTGGAGGCTGATATTTTTCCCCGATATTTAGCTCCATGTTTTCATAGTTACATTTGGGGCCAACATCTAAAGTAAATTAAAAATTGTTTAATTTTTTTGCGGATTTCAAAATTTTTGTTAAAAATATCCTGCGTACTATTAAAGCAAAGAAACAGATACAATAATAGTTAATATTTATTTTGAATGGTTTCTCTTAACTTAATCTTAATTTCTATTAATACTTCACTTTTTAGTTTTATAATAATTATTACTTTAGAGGTAATTATATGAGAAGCTGTAGCTCTAAGTACGTTCGAAAGGAAGACTTACCGACTTGAGCAATAACTCGTGAATTTACTTAGTATGCTAAGCATACAAATTAATTGCATTTAAAATATCTTACCTCCTATTCCTCCTCCTAATCCATTTGGTGACATAGATGGATCGGATAACAGGTCGCGGCTGGTTTTTCGAAAACTAAAATTAATGTCTGAATACCGATGTGATTGTCGTGAATATAAACTATTCGTTGATGTAATTGCACCTACTAAGAACAGTAAGCAAATTTGGAGAAAATGCATATTTCTCTATTGTGGTTGACTTAAGAAAAACTTACATAGTAAAAAGTTTCTTATAAAAATTTCTTTTATATGTAACGTAAAATAATTAACAAAAGAGTTGTCAAGTGTTACGAATAAAACAATTATTTTAAAAATATGAGGAGATCTATTATTACAAAAACCTCAAAAGTCAATATAATTTTCTAGTTGGCAATCGTCTAAGTACATTTAACAAATAAAATCACATATAATTAAGTGAAAAAATTGATTAGTTACGTGTTATATATAAGTATTATGACACATAACATATTTATTTAGTGTAATAAATTACCGTGTGTTTTGCTTCATTCTTCTATAATCGACTACAGAATATTAAACAAAAGCACGAACTATACATATATATATGTGATATACATATGATATACATATATTATATCATATTATTAACACCAGAAACACTTTGACAATATGATATATATAAGACTTGTACTACCTAAATTTAGAATCCCCCTAGAATTTGTGAAAACAAAGACAAAATTTAGAGCATCTCATTTTTCTCGACTTAAGAATTATTTGCTTTTACAAGGTATAAGCATTGCCTTAATTTCGAAAAAGGATACTAAATAAGGTACAGCTTTTTGGCAAAGTCTCTATTGAATTCAAACTAGTTCTGAGGTGGTTGCCAAAAATGCTTATTTATAAGAACTGAAAATAATAATAATTTCAAAAATATTCAAGAAAAATAGCAATAACAAAAAGTTATTTTAATTCATTTTTAAGTATGTAGTTACCATTCTAACAACATTCATACCTTATATGATGCATGTATATATATATAATACATAATTATTAAATAACAAAAATAATTATTATTCTTGTCTTAAAAACGAACAACTAAAAATAACATTATGTTCCGAAGGTAAAATTAAAACGCTTTATGCGCAACTTATTTTTTCAAACCAAACTTAAGTTGCAAGCAAGGCGTTTTATTTTTGAGCAGAGCAAAATAAAACGCAATGTGAGTTTGGTAACTGCTGTGAAGTCACTAATAAAATGTGTAAAATGGGTAGTACAAGTAAAGAGTTTATAGTTTTTTTTATTAATAAATATTTTAGTTACAAATATTCTATTTTTATAAATTTTAAATATATATACTTATATTAATTAAATCTGCTATATGTAACAGTTATTAAGGCAATTAAAGAATGAAAATAAATTACTAATTTATGTTTCAAAATTATAGACAAGATATTTTTTTGAGTAAGTCATAAGCTTAAATGAAAAAGTTTAACTAACCAAACCTTTATATATGATTATGAACAAAAAATTTACTTGTGAAGAAATCGAACAGAAAACACCAGAACCTATATAAGAATTACTAACAGCAAACATAGCGTTAATTGAATCATGATGGTGTAGAGCCTATTCACTTTTACATTTTCTTTAAAAAGACAGACATTGTGTCAATAAAAATCGTTATTTGCAAATGGAAAACAATTATGTGCATTCATGTATAAAAAGTATATAAGTTTAAATTTATCAGCATTTATTGTGTAGTAACAAATTAGCGTCTAAAAAGTATATTTTACACTATTAATTTTTAAATGCTATAATTACATTATTAAGTTTGAATTTTTTGCATTTAGTATATATATTTGATATGAAATACTTTATTGTAATAGACATTAAATATAGTCACTTCACATAGTAAAAGCGTTCTCTGATTTTCACGATTTTCTGGTTTTTCTGAAACTTGACATTAATTTTGAAAAAATTAAAAAAAAAATAATTTCGATTGTTTAATAAAGAACTAATACTCATAAATTCGCTAAACTTTATATATGTGAACTTATTTTTTACAAATTATAATACATACTGCTCAAGAATATTTTTCAACAACGTTAATATATTAAACGCTGAAGTACATAATGAATTTATTTTTCAAATATCACCAAGAAATTTTGAAATCCCTTTGAGATTGATTTCTAAATATTTTATGAACGGACGGAATATATTATTTATTATTAATATTATTTCTATTTATTTATTTTAACATATTATTAACTTAAACAGTAGTCAACGTGATATCCTTGATGTTAAACAAAATCAGCACCACAAACGGATAGAACTTGTATAAAATGGAAGCTTTGGCTTCAGCTTCACCTTCAGTCACAGGTCTTAGGTTCAGCTCCACCATTCTGTTCAGACAATTACTAATGAAAAATAGATTTGACACATTTTTCAAATCTAATAAAAAATTAAAGTTTTAGGCTTTTAAATAAGCATGTAATACAGTGAGAAGATAATAGAGATTCTATGAAATAGTTAAATAGTTCTAGTACAATACGAAGAGACGAATAATATGTATTGTTATGACTCTTTATGGGTGTTTGTGCCATAACACTGACTTTATAGTAACATTATTTAGTAATTTAAACTTTTTTTCTCGAAATTATATATGTATGGTTTCTGTACCTATATAAATATATAGAGTCTACCACAGAGGGACCGGTTTTGAATTCGCTTAATTATTTATAAAATAAATTAATTAAGAATTCCTGTATGAGACCAAATGGCGTAGTGTTCTATTTTATTATTCTTGTTTTTTGTCATACCTCTACTTGTCATGAGAGAATTTACTGCTTAATCACGACTTCTTTCATAACATACATTATATTTTTTTTTATCTATTTGTACTTGTCGAATTCACTCAGTTTTTAACTATTTTATTGATATCAATGCATTTTTTCTAAGCGATTCTAATTTTATTTTCTATGAATAACAATATACTAACATTTCTTATTATCATTACTCTGTTTTGTTTTAAAAGATTTCAAAATAATCCAATTTCACCACTAAAAGGAATTTTTATCTTTTTTTACAATACGATTATCACCTACAGGATGCAAGGATATCGCATCATTTTATTCTCTCACCCAATAACCGAAAAAAATAAAAATTACATTGGAATCGATTGAATAGTTTCTGAGTATACTCGCTCTCCGATAGGTGGAAAGCATCAACGCTATCATTTGAAACCATAACCTACTACAACACCTTCTCCGGAATAAGTAATGAAGATTCTAGCTATTAAACCATGAGGTTAACAATGTTGAAAACCTTATACGAGTCATCAAAGATAAAGGTAGGAGTTAATATACTAAAGAATTAGGAATCTAAATCAGTTCAAGCTAAGGTAAAAGTTAAATTGATGAAGAAGATGGAAAAATTGTGAAAATAACAGGGAAATTATTATGTGTAGGCTTTACAACAGGGATCACGAAAACAGCGTTTGAAAAAGGCAATGATAGAACAAACTGTATGCACTTCACCAAACTTGACTGGGTGTTATTGTCGGGTTTATATTTCATACCAGAGATCAAATCTTAAAGAATAGTGCTATTGTGAAAAATGTCAGGACGGTTGTATGGTCAAGTAAAGGTACTGATGGAAGAATGAAGGTAGACATTCATTAATACGTGTATTTTAAGTCAAAGGAATTAGAAAAGTATTTACCGATATGGTTGTGCTCATAAAGCAATTTCCGTGTCCATTCCCTTTTTTTATTAATATTTCGTACAATTTAACTGTCAAGACTATTACTGTTTGATTAATGACTTTTAATGATTTGACTTTTATCATTTAATTTCCAAATATATTTTTTTATGCATATTGACTGTTTTTCGACTATAATTTTTATTTTCCGTACTTGAAGTTTCAATTTTTTAAACTAATTTTTCGATTTTGTATTTACATTATAAATGTAAATAAATAAAATAAATAATTTTTCATTTACAAATGGTATGTAAGTAATTATGTGTATGTATTATAATATTTTATTTAGAAGAATGTTTATATTCGATAACCTTTTTGACATTTTTATTGAGAAACAGAGATAAATCTCTCGCTACTTTTATGCATAATGAACAATTTTATTCACTTGAAATCAATTTAAAATATTTATAAAGATATTTGATATATCTTAACACAATTAATTCATAATATTCTATATATTCCCACATAGGGGTCTTATATACATTTCTTTATTTACATTCGACTTGAGTTTCATGGTTTTTCAATCACATATTATGTCTCTTTGACAACAACTTGGATGTGGTTTACTTGTATCAAAATCAGCTACCCGACAATTTGGTGGTGCACCTATTACACCACAACCGGTAATGCTTCCATTTCCTTCTTCATCGTGGCACGCCAATTCAGCACAGGTACCAGGAGGTTGCAATTTTTCACCGGGTGACATTACATTGCCATCGATTACACATTTACCGGGATGTTCTACGTTGATAAATATACATATTTAAACTTAAATTTGGTTTAAAATAATAAACAATATTAAATAACTAACTTGGATCAGAAAATTTTCCAACAGAGGCAGCTGCATGAATGCTTGTTGCTAAAAAAGCTATCAAAATTGTTGCGCATAGCAAAAGTCTCATCTTGTCCCACTTAAGATTAAACACAAACTGATGAAACGAATCTTTTTAAAATTGTATTTATAGAAAAAGTATTAATTACTAATGAATTTGATTAAATAACCTGCTTCCAAATGCAATAAAAATAGTGAAGATGCAATAATTATTAAAATATTTATATTAGTTGCCTATAATTCACAGCTCAACGTAAAAAATCTCATATTGTCATATTATGTAAATAATTTTAGTAATTGTAATTAATTTTAGATTAGATAATAATGGCTTATGGCAAACTATCTGAGCAATAATACTAATGAAAATAGTAGGAATAATGGTAATGTTAATTTTTTTTTTTAATATAATTTTTAGTGAGGTATATCCCCACTCTGCATAGTATATTTGTCAAAGTTTTTAGCTGCCCCCCTCCAATAAATTGTTTTATAAACACAAAAGATAGTTAATAGGAGTCCAGCTTTCATTTGTTTAATAATCAAAAGCGCTCTTAGTGAATCTGTGTAGAATCAAAACAAGCATTCTTATTAAATAGCACAGTATGGAAATTAATTTATGACATGTAGATCCATCGCAGGTAAGAATTGGGGATGTACACCAAAGTGACTGCGATGGATATACACAGCAGTAATCAGACCAATGATCACCTACGGATCAATAGTCTGGCAGAACTGCACAAATCAACAAAGCGTTATCAACACACTCAACAAGGTACAACGACTTGCATGTGTAAGCATAACAGGAGCAATGAGAACATGTCCCACGTCATCAATTGAAGTACTCCTGAAACTCACTCCTCTTCATATCTATGTGCAAGCACAGGTGAAGAGGGCTGCTCTAAGAGTAACTACAAACAAGGTGACTGGTCTTGAAACCAACAGCAAAAAACTTGATACTTTGGCTGCACAAATCCCAGAAATTGGAATGCCAATGGACAGGATGATTGTAAAGCATAACTTTACAAAAAACTTCAAAACTGAACTTGGCAACAAAAAGAACTGGGAAGGTTTGTCTAACATCCCAAAAATAAAAGAAACCACGATAACATAGTATACAGACGGCTCTCTCACCAATGAGGGAGCTGGAGCTGGTGTTTATGGACAAGGCAAAAAATACTGGGAAGCATTAGGAAACAATACAACCATCTTTCAAGCGGAAATATACGCGATAGATAGATGCGCCAGTTTCAATCTTGAACGTAACTACCGGAACCGTAAAATTGCAATACTGACTGACAGCCAGGCAGCTATAATGGCACTCATATCTTACCAGGTAACATCCAAACTGGTATGGGAATGTATTGACAAGCTGAACACACTCGGTGGGATCAATCAGGTGCACCTTTTATGGATTCCGGGACATACTGGTATTTAAGGTAATGAAATGGCAGACAAACTTGCAAGAAGAGGCGCGACATCAAGAATGATAGGTCCAGAACCATTCTGTGGTCTAGGCAAAGGAGCTCTATCCATTATTATGAATGACGCAGAGAAAAAAGAGAGAGAACTCTATTGGGAAATGCTACCAAGACTCTCACAATCTAAAATGCTTTTAGGGACTTACAACCTAAAACGCTTTAAAGATTGCATAGTACAATCAAAAACTAACATATGAATTATTACGGGATTACTGACCGGTCACTGCAGATTGAATAATTACCTATCGAAGTTAGGAATTCAATCCAACTCAGACGCAGATACTGTAGGGAAGAGAGAGAAACGGCATACCATGTGCTTGGGGAGTGCCCGGCACTGATGCATAAACGAAAGAAACACCTAGGAGGATATTTCATGGATCATAAGGATTCAAGACTGGGGAAGATAGGATCCATACTGTCTTTCATTAAAGAAATCGGACTTGGAGAAATACTCTAACCCGACAAAGGGGCACAATCTCTCAGATCTTTCAGGTCGCAGTGCACGATCCCTTACTCAATAATAATAATAATGAAAATTAATTTAATTTACTAACTCTTTCTTAATAATTTCACTAACTAATATCTTTGTGTTATTACATCGCATAACAACTATTTGCTTAATGAATGTATTATACAAAGTACAAAATTTATTAGTATAAACAAATAAATAGCGATAATGTATATACTTATGCATTTCTAAATCCAGACACAACTATATACCTTGCGTTCTTAAAATATTAAGATTTCTGCTTAATTAAAGATACATTCAGTTTAATTTTTTTCTTTCAATTTTCTGCTATAGATATTAATTATTCAATAATATTTTAATATATTCAACAGCATTCAAAATAAAAAATTATTATTTTTGTTATTTTAAGTTAATATATTTGCCAAATTTTTTTTTTTTTAATAACATTTGCCAGGTCGAGGACAACACTCAGGATAACGTTTAGTAGGATCTTGCTCTATTTTACAATTTGAAGGAACACTTAAAACACCGCATCTACAAAAATATTTGATATAATTAATAATGAACTAGCCATTAGTATAATACATAGTTTATCATATTAAAAACTTACGTATACATGTGTGCACTGCCAGATGAATCTTCACAAGTCCATTCTCCGCACGTATTAGGTGGATAATATTTCTGTTCAGGTGACAAAACATGTCCATCTATGACACATTTTCCTGGATGTTCTGTAAATAGTGCCAATATACGATGAAAATTGATATTTTGATTTTTTATATATTGAGTTATATATATCATATACACAATATATATTTAAATATATATGTTATTGTAATTATTATCATGTCTTACTGGGATCTGAACCAATTGCACGCACTACAGCTGCATCAATGGTTCCAGTTATAGCAATGGCTAAGATTAAACAGCAAACTAAATATTTCATCTTTTATTCAATAAAGTAGAATGAAATCTGATTTGATTATATTTGCTGATTTAATTTATATATTAAATTTCTTTCGGTTTACTTTGAGAAACATACTTTTTTTTATTATTTTTAATAATAACATTTCAAATTATAACAACAGTACTTAACACTCAACTTGGAAATCCCACAGAAAACGAGAATTTCAATCTGAGCGCTACAAATTTTATATTTTAACATTAGTTTAATAGAAAGCAATTATAGAACCTTAATATACATTTATACTTATACTCATAGCAATATAATATTAACCATTGAATTTTTTTCAATCAGTAAATAATCAAATACTTTCTTCTTAATTTCTGAGTTTCAATTCAAATACAATATAGATAAAGATATGATTAAAACAATAGACAAGTACGACAAAATTTACTAATAAATTTACATTTATACTGCATTGATTTCTTGGAAGACCCAACAAAAACTTTTTTTGTCTTACAGTACAGCACAGTTGGTGAATAGGAGTTCTATACACTTTTCCGGCTTCAAGCCGACTGCTGATTTTTGATAAATTGCAACAACCAGAGTGATATTACATTGTATTATTTTGAAATATTTTTTGTTATCATATATTGTGTAATTGTTTCTATAGCTAAATATATATTTATATAATACATCTTAAATATATTTTTTATGAAGAGGTGATTTCGAAATAGAGAACTACAACAACAAAAATTCTTTTTTTTTTATATTTTTTAATTAATTGAATTTTTGGTTGGTCATATAGTTCTTTCGAGTATTGTCAAATACCAATCACTAGTGGTCGAACTTGTGCCCTTCCAAATTTGAAGCTTAGAGTCAGCTTTCATTACCCAACTGATCCAAAGCCGTAATTGACTTTTTATGTTTGCACATTTTTCTGGAATTTTGTTAATTAGCTGTGAAAGTTTTTTTAATAACAAATCCACGTTTTTATTTAATTTCATTCCCGTGCGGATGTTCTAATAATATAACACTTCGTTCAATAATGTGTGTGACTGACACATAGATGGCGGCACTAATACTAAATAAATATTTTTTTTCGAAAGTGGCAACCTTTTTAGGCTTACTGTCAAAATCATATGTTAAACCGATCATTTGTTTACAAGTTACAGTGCTTTAAGTGACGCTACTTTTGAGTTTTCAAAAAAAAATGAATTCAAAGCAATTCCGTGTGCTGATTTATCATTGTTTTTTAATGAAAAAAAATACTGTTCAATGCCAGGAATGTCTTGAAAAATATTATTCGGACTCTGCTCCATCCAAAAGAAGCATTTGTTATTGGTATGCCGAATTCAAACGTGGTCGTACAGACACCGATGACATTCCATCTACTGGACGGTCAAATGATGCTGTTATTCCGGAAAACGTTGAAAAAAAACTGAAAATCATTATGTCCGACCGTAAAGTGAAAGTGAGGGAGATTGCTGACATTCTACAGATATCAACAGGCAGTGTATACACCATAATACACGAACATTTGGGTATGAAAAAGGTGTTTTCCAAATGGGGGCCGCGTTTGCTCACACCGGAGTAAAAACAACAACGAATCGATGATTCAAAGAACTGTTTGGACATGTTTACGCGCAATAAGTCGGAGTTTTTGCGTCGGTACATCACGATGGATGAAATATGGATGCACCATTTCACTCCAGAGTCAAATCGGCAGTCTGCTGAGTGGCATGCAGCCGGTGAAAGTCGCCCAAAGCGACCAAAGACACAGTAGTTGGCTGGCAAGGTTATGGCGTCTGTATTTTGGAATGCGCATGGAATAATATTCATCAACTATCTCCAGAAGGGGAAGACCATCAACAGCGACTATTATATAGCGTTATTGGAGCGTTTGAAAGACGAAATCGCAAGGAAACGGCCTCATATGGCGAAGAAAACAGTTTTGTTCCACCAAGACATTGCACCGTGTCACAAGTCGATGAAAACGATGGCAAAATTGAACGAATTGAGCTACGAATTGAGCTACGAATTGCTGCCGCACCCACCGTATTCTCCAGATCTGGCCCCCAGCGTCTATTGGCTCTTCGCAGACCTCAAAAAGATGCTCCGTGGTAAGAGATTTGGATCAAATGATGAAGTAATCGCCGAAACTAACGCCTATTTTGAAGGCAAAAAAAATCGTTTTACAAAGGCGGTATCGAATGATTCCAAAAGCGTTGGATTGTTATTGGTGAATAAAAATGAATTTTGGCAAAAAAATATGTTTTAATTAGTTAGTCACACACATTATTGAACGAAGTGTTATTTGTGCTTTAAAAATATTTTTCATTTTATATTTCAATAACAATACAAAAACCAGAATAACAAATCGATATTTTCAATGGTTTATAAAGAAAAATTTAAGTACGCACATATATAAATTTAATATAGAAATACAGTGTGATAAGTATCAACGTGTTAGAATATTAAGTTAAAAGTATATATCCACCTTCATTAAATACTTGGCTTAATGTAGGAGCTATTAAGGCCGAAGTGGAATTACGCTTTAAACTTTACATACATACCTATGTGTAAGATCTCTTGTTTAAAGAGAGATTAGTAAACAAATAATTAAACTCAATATCACCAAATAATATAAAAAACGTTCGTATTAAAAGAGCAAGCGCTTATCAAATTAAAAACCAACAATTTATATTTTATTTGGAATTTTAAATCTAATAAATTAATTTATGTTTGGTACGTCTCATTTAAAATAAAAAATGATAACCACATCTGGTTTTTCTCATGAATATTATGAGGTCGCCTGCACAACATTTCTCATAGCCAGCACGTGACTATACATATGTTTATTGTTATATGATTACTTAATATACATATAATTGCTTTAAAAAATTACAAGATTACAAAATGAGAGAATTAAACGAGACACGTGCCAATGAAGCATGAATCTTCCCAAATCATATTTAAATCTCAGCTTAGACATATAAACCGAATATATAAAATAAATACTTTCATATGTTGAGAAATTAGAATTGTTTACCACTTTAACTACTTTATTATTGTATGTACTTTTCTTAAGTGAATATAATTAAAACGAGGTTTAAAATTGGAGATTCAAATTTTATTTTTATAGTTTTTGTTATTTTAATCCATAACATTAATATTTAATGTTTCAACTAAGACTTCGATGAAATTAAACTTTAGTAGTAAAAAGGTTAATCTTTCATAATTTAGGGTTTTTACTAGTTCTTGAGTTACTGTTCACGAGGGTCAGTATTTATATTTTGAGCCTAATAATCAAAAAATACTAAATAAAAATACTAAATACTGATAATTGCTTTATTGTTCCTAGAAGTATTCTCCTTTATAATTAATACACTTTGGTATGCGTTGGAAGCATTTGTCAAAGCATTTTTTTCAATCTTCTACAGACACCTCCAAAACATGGTTTTTAAATGCAACAATGACTTCTTCTACCGACAAAAATCGTTGTTCACGAAATTTATTCTTGACTTTCGGAAATAAGAAGTCAATTTTTGAATGATCAAATAGTCGGTTGTTACTCGTACACGATATGTGTGCGCAATCGTATTCTCACCACGGAATTGACCGTTATACGTTCCTGTAATGGTATCCGTATAGTTCTCACATGACCAGTTTCCTCAAAAAAAAAAACAAGCGATCATTTGTTTCGAAGTCCTTCGAGCGCGAACAACTTTTGTCAATTTTGGTTTATCTTGAAACACCCATACAGTCGACTGCTGTTTACGTTCCGACTCATATCTATATATCCATGATTCATCATCTGTTACAATCTTATATACATCTTTGAAAGCACCATTATTATTCTTCTTGAGCATTTGTGTGCACCAGTCGACAAGAGCACCTTTTTAAGATTTTATCAAATGATGGGTGATCTGATCTAACGAAAAAAACCTTTCGCACGGCTTAATGATCCTGCAATATTTTATATATGCTGTCTCTTACAGTATGTCGCATGATGATCTTCAATTACAATTATAACAGCATCAAAGTTTTCTGGCAAAAAAACGGATTTTGGACGATCTTCACGAATTTCGTCAGTGAGTGTCAGTAAACTGCGGCCATGATTAAAATTATTGTACCAGCGTTTTACAGTGGTAAAGGATAGACATTTGGCTTCATCGCCATATGATAAGTAAGTTGATCGATGCACTCTTGTCTTGATAATCCACATCGAAAGTCGTAATAAATCATTGCACGAAAATTTCTCGCATTAATTCCAACACTCAATTTACAAATCACTGTAAATATGCGAACACGAATAATACTTTTCTGACAAATACTCTAAGGTAGGTTATATTTAATAATGTCAAACTTTCGTATGGAAACTTCAGATGACCCGGACAACAACCAGTGTTGCCAAGGCTCAAAATATAAATAGTGACTCTCGTAAAAATAAGATTAAATAGCATATTAAAAGATATTATTAA